GATCTTTGCCTAACCAGAGGTGGGAATTTGCATTCACCTCCCCTCATGTATTCCCCAAGAAACCCACTTAACTCTGTACGAAAAGTTCTTTCTTGCTTGGCACATTGTTCAGTCTAGTCTTCTGAAGCTTCCAGCACTTCCCAAAGTTTACATTGGTCATCTCTCTCCCCTAAGACGTAAAATACAATAATACCTAAACTTTGCATTTGTAATACAGTAGACCCCCAAAGACACTTAAAATTAATCATGTTTTTAAAGGATATTGAAAAATGAGATTCAGCTTAATGTCCCTAGGGAAGAATAATCCAAAACTCAAGATACTCTGTTGGTGGAAACACATGGAAAGGAATAACGCTGAAATGGACTTTGGGGGTGAAACTGGTCAGCAAATTAGATATAAGCTCACAAATGTAAGATAGCAACAACAAAAGGCCAATGAAATTTTTTTTGGAATCTGTACAGATAGTAGGTTGGATTTTTCAAAAAAGCCCAGCTCCTATTTAGGCATTTAAATGAATTATCCAGATTTTCAGAGGTGCTCACAATAGCTTCTGGGTGATGAGCACTATTCATAATGTAGCCACTTTACTTAGGAGCCAAGATCTTTTTAAAACCTGTCCCTTTGTCACAAAGCAGGAAGGCCAGAGTCCTTTTGTATGATCCTAGCTAGCCCACACCTACAATATTTTGTTTCCTGGTGGGATCTTCAATACCAGAAGAATGTAGATACACTGGAAGGAAATCCGAGAACAGCAGTGAAAATAATTAGGAGCCTAGTGGCACTGACTTTTAAGAAAAATTAAGAGCTAATATATATAATTTGGCCACGCAATAATACAGGGGATTATAACTGCAAAGTCTGAAAGGTGTAGAGCAATATTTTAAGGTGTGGTATAAGAAATATTAATAGGATGAAGGTAAGAGAAGGAAAACATAGGGTGAGTGTCTGAAAATACTTCCTAATGTGAAAAGAAAGTAGGCTGTAGAGAAGTGTCCCAATTTAAGGGCTGAAAACCCATTACTGGAGACATTACCATGGAAACTGACAACCCCCCAGAGAACATTCTGTAAGGCACAATCCTGCACAGGTAGGGATGTGGACTATCTTGACCTAGCAGGGCTTCCACTCTTTAGTCTCATTTGATATCTAGCTGCTAAAGTGTGTGTGTTATTAGGGAAACCTCACCCGTTATTTAAATCTGCTTCTGAATGTGAGTAAATAGCTTGTTTAGTGCTTAAACCAGCCCTTTCAAGAGGCAACTTGGTACCAGCAGCCCAATCTCTTTTCCTTCTACAGCAGGCAACTGCTTGCCAGCTGTGGGCACACTTCTTTTTTTCTGCTTGTAATAGCAGGGACATAGACTAGATAACCAAGTAAGGCTTGGCCTCTTTTATTATCTGTGATTGTGACAAAAATCCTTTGGTAAAAGTTGTTTAATTTTTTTTCCCCCATAATGTCCCCATCACTCAAAGGCAGCATTGAAAGCCCATGCGGACCTGATTTTAAGTCCATTCAATGTATTAAAGAGACTGAAAAGTTAGATGTACATCTTCTGAAGTCTACAGCTGGTAATATTTTAATTCTTTTTAACTAGGGAACCCTCCTCTGTGATTGCTGCACTGCTGTGTGTTGCGCTCCATGTTCTCTTTGTCAACTGAAGAGAGATATTAACATAAGGAAAGAGATGGGGATATTCTAGCAAGGTTTGTCACTTATTTATATTTGTAAGCATGTTTGATAAATCAACAGGCTTCTCTAATGCAATGTCTCATTTAAAGTTAGTTGAAGAACAAATGGTTCATGTGTTAGAAAAGTTAGTGTACAATTAAAATGATATGCAATTAGTGAACACGTCTGATTAGGATAGAGGGGGAATATTCTCTTTTGCTCACCCTGTGTATATTTAACCGAAGTCTTCCTGGGCCCAAGATGGCCACCCATCTGTAATATGGCTTTTGGAAATCAGCAGGTACTTGACATGTGTTAGAGACACCACAGCAACAAGGATTGAGTGTTACCTTAGTGTCTCAAGCCAATTTGAAAGGAAAAGTGTATTGGTTTTTATGAACAAAATGCCGGGCAGGGGAATGCAAGGCCATGAGGCAGCAAGAGCCATCTATTACTTGGGGAGAGTCTTGGTGGTAAACCAAAGGTGCAGAGTGTCCACAACTAGGTGGCATCTGCAGTGGGACTCCACAAAGGAATAGAGCATGTCAAACACAAAGAAGAATGGGGCCTGTGGGTGTGTTCTACTGAGAGCCTACGTAGCTCAACTGTTGAGTGTGTTGCAGAAGGAAGCAATTGCCACGTTTCTACTGTGCTTCATTCCAAGAAGCAGACACACCTGCTCGAGCAGTGCCCTTGCATAGCAATGTGTAGAGTGAGCAGCCGTTCCCTCAGCTCCACTCCATTGCAGTGTTGTCCGCAAGTAAAAGTAGTTTGTTTAGTAGGACTTCACTGACTTGTTCAGGATTAGCCCCGAGTAATTTTACCATCTATCAGAACTTCAGCTCTATGTAAAACAAGAATCACAGTCATGTCAATAATGTGAGTGTTCTATTCACCTTCTCGTCAAGATGTAGCTCACAGGTGGGATTTTCAAATCTCTCAGCACTGAGCTAAGTCTGCTCCTCCTGAATGTCAATGGGAAAACTCATTAACTTCAGTGAAAAGTTGAGCAAATGCTGAGAGCTTTTAAAGACCTCACCCAAAATGTAGACAAATATTTGTTCACCTTGCACTGAAAAAACAAAATCAGAGGGTCTGATTTTCAGGCACATTGAAGATCTTCGTATAAACCGAGGAAAAGGCCAAGCTCTTGTATTTATTCATTTTTTCAATAATATCCAATAAGTCACATCCTGTTCTCTCTCACCCCTGCAGCATCCTTGCTTTGAGGCAGATGTATACAGTAAGCATTCAAGCAAAACTTAGTCCACTACCCTGTAATTTACTTAACAACACCAATAATATTATAAATCTCATCCTTGTGTATAACTCTTTTTTCACCCATTTCAGGTGTTCCTGTATTCATTTGTGTCCTAGAGTTCCATATGCAAAAGTCTTCCCATCTCCTGCTGTATGTACTGTTCACCAAAGCGCTGTTGTAGGCATTTTAATGTAATTGCTACAAAGTAATATTTGTAAGAAAACATCAATAAAGGAAACAACCTCAAAATTTGTCTTTGCTTCACTTATTGTGAAAAGTTGTGTGCTAATTTTATCATTACTACAGCTTCTCGAGTTTTACCATACAAAACTGTCTTGGAAAGAGCATTCTGATCCCAATATCTTGCTAATACTAGCCTACTCTAGGTCTATTGAATACTCTCCCCACAATTTCTGCTCCCATCCTACAAGTACATAAGGCAGAATAAGTTCTGATAGTTAACTTATTTTCCTGCTACCTGACTTGTAAGAAAAGGCTGTTTCTTTTCCTGGATGTTCTAGATATTTAAATTGCAAATCCAACACAGGAAACTTGGAAGGTTACAATTATATTACAGTTCTCATACGTTGAAGCTCAGACTGTCAGAGTGAAGTATTACAAGTGACTGTTTAAAAAAAGGCAACACAGGTATTTTGTGTAGTGTCAATCACACGAGTTCTCTTAAAATTTAAAAAGCTGTTAAACACAGTTTTGTAAGTAACAAGTAAACCTGCTAAATTGCTACTTACAGTACAGACTCTGCCATCTGCTGGCTATAGCAAGACCAAGCACAGTCACTTTGAAAGTTTTATTTGGTTCATGTAGCACAGTGGGTTGTCATCCAGGGGCCCCCAGGAACAAGTTTCAGGGGGTCCATCAAGCAGGGGGTCCATCAAGCAGCGTTAGACTCGCTAGACTGAGCAGTTCAGCTATATTCACCTCTTGGACCAGATCCTGTGCGCCACTTAGGACTAAATCAAGAATTACCTCTCTCCTTGTGGGTTTCAAGACTAGCTGTTTCAAGAAGCAGTCGTTAATGGTGTCTAGAAATTTTCTCTTTTTATCCCATCCTGAGGTGACATATACCCAGTCAATATGGAGATAGTTGAAATTCACCCCTTATTAATGAGTTTCCTATTTTTGTAGCCTCTCTAATTATGTTGAGCATTTCACTGTCACAATCCTGATTAGGTGGCCAGGAATATATTCATACTGCTATACTCTTATTAATCAAACATGGCATTTCTATCCATAGGAATTCCATTGTACAGTTTGATTCATTTAAGATTTTTACTGTATTTGACTCCAAGCTTTCTCTCACATATAGCGCCACTCCCCCACCAGCACAACTGATTCTATCTATCATTCCTATATATTTTATACTGTGGTATTACCATGTGCCATTTCTCTCACCTACCCTATTACCAGTTGCACATTGCAAAGATTTCAAAGCTTGACCATTATCCCCGTTCCACTATAACACATTGTACAAGATGCAGGAGGAGCAGTAAGAAATCACACTGCAACCATGTGGCCTAGGATCATTCCTCGCTCTGCCACTGGCCTGCTGGGTGACATTGGGCAAGTCATTTCACCTCTTTGTGTGCCTCAGTTTTCCATCTGTAAAATGAGGATAATGATATAGAGTTATTTGAGATCGACTGATGACATGCACTATATAAAAGCTAGGTCTTTTGTTTATTACCTATCCACAGTAGAGTATCCACTGTAAACCTAAGTGAGAACTACAAGTGTCTAAATTACCACTTACTCCTATCAACAGACATTTCTCTCTCTGTTTAAAAAACTAGGAAATTAAATGGCAAAAAACTTAATTAACACAAAGTGAAGGATGCCCGGTAATAGCTTGTTCCCTTCTGGAACGCTGAGTTCAGCAAAACTCTAACTTCTGAAAATAGGGTGTTATTTGGAGGGGAGTACCCCACACAGGCTCTGAAAGGGTTAATGATGGTCTGAGAGGCCAATTATATTCCTTGGAGACACCCCTGTGGGGGGAAGAGGTGAGAGTATGTGGCTTAATTAGAGATGAAGCCTGGCTGGGGAGAAGCTGGGGTGCGATTATAATGGGAGAAAGTTGAGCGCAGGGGGCTGGTTGCTGGGAGTTTGGCTGAGAAAATTTGGAGAGGGACCTGGCTGCAGGCTGGGACTGAGGCAGATGGAAAAGCCAGGATGCCACCTACTGGTGGTGATGACTACGATGAGGATGGTGATGAGGAAGATCTGACCGACACTCGGGGGTCCACAGCAGGAGATGTGAGTAATGCCAGTCATAGTGCTGAACACTTTGTATTATCTCTCTATCTGTGGTGGTATTTCAGTGTTTGTGGGATTGTTTATCTGCTGAGTGGATTTATTAATAGAGGAACTTGTGATAAATTGCAGTTTATCTCCTGTGCTCCCTAGGTCTGTCATTCTGATAACATTGGTAGTAATCTTCCTGAGGCTTTAGCTGTTTAGGAGACCAGACCTTTATCGACCATTGTGGTCTAAGTAATTAATCAGTAATCAATACACCAATTCATCCATTAGGCTACAATGTAGAGAACATCGATAAGAACAGTTTTAGAATGCAGATGCCAAGCTGTTGGTTCAGGTTGGAAAAACAACTCTTAGAAATTTGGAACTCCTCCAGGCCCAAGCTCTGCGATCAGCATGTGGTGCAATAACATCAGCATGTGTGTTGCAAATAGCCACCAGAGAAGCACCTATAAATTTAATGATGAAATGGTTACATCTAACCTTTTGGGCAGAAGTACACAACGGATTGATAGGGATTTCCGGGGGCTTAGCGGACCAAGTGGTATGGATTGCCACGGACTTCCTCTGACTATCAGGGTAAATAAATGGGTATATGAAAAAGGAGATATATAAAAAAATAAAAATGGAGAGAACTCCATGGGAAATCAAATTACAGCTAGACAGGTATTCCCCCATTTTTGGAATTGTATGAAATAAATTAGGGAAGGAAAAGTGACATATTATGATCAATGAAATTTCTGAATTTATTTATGAAAAATGGGGCCAGCTTTCCAAGTCTACACAGATGGATCAAAAGACGACAACATGGGAGAGTGGGAACAGCCTTCTGTGTTCCTAGTCTTGGAATCCAGAAATCTAAAAGGCTATAAAATGATGTTCTGAGGGCTGAACTCATGGGGATAATGTTGGCACTAACCTGGATAAGAGACGTGGGACTGGCTGCCGCTGTAATTTTATCTGATTCCTTGTCAGGCATTATGATGATAAGAACAGGGACTTTGGAAAATGGACTTGTGCCTTAAATGGTAGTTAAACTTGATAGAAAGACATGCCATACAGCTAGGTTGTGTAATGTGTGCAAAACCAAAGCAACTGCTGTTCGTGTTCTATGGCATTGTGGGCAATGTTTTACGGAAAGAAAGTTTATTTTGAAAAAGTGAGTCGGCTTGGTGTTGTAGTAGCCAGGCAAGGTACTAACAAACTTCAACAGGACTTTATTTTTTAAAGTGGAAACCTCTTTTCCAAGCTGCTGCTGCACCCTCAGTAGCTATCCCTCAGCCTCTTCAACTCCTCTCCCCTCCTTTCTGTTTCCTGTCCTTTCAGACCCCCAACAGCCAGTGCTCCCAATTCAAATAATTACAAGCAACATCTAAACACCACATTCCCTCCTCTCTTAAGAAACTCTCCCCATTACAATAAACATTGTTGTTCTAGCCACAGGAACAAATAGGAAACAAGGCACAATGCTATTGACAGAAATATTACACTAAAAACACTACACATACTACATAACATAGTCTCTAGTCCAGACAGGTGGTTGTCTGGGTCTGACAGGCCATCTCTCAAGCCCTGGTTCCAGTGCAATGTCTTGTTGTGTTGATGCTACGGTGAAGTCATCCAGTGCAGACTTGGGTGTTGGCATAATTTCCTCTTGGTGCATAGGCAGGTGCAAGATAAGAAGTGTTCCGTACCCACCCATCAGAAAGTCGATAGCTTTAAGATCCCTTCTTCTCTATGATTTTAAGAGGAGCTGTGAATTTGTGGTCCCCTTTGCGTAAAATTCCAGGTTTTCGTATTCTAACAAAAGAACCACACTCAAACTTTGGTTCCTTAGCAGCCTGCCGCTTGTCTGTGAAAGCCTTATACTTTGCTTGGTTCTGTTCAACTGATTTTCTCACATCATCCTCGGTTGGGGCTTCAGGTCGTGCCTTTAACAATCCAGCACCGTTCAGTTTAGTATTCATCTGTTTCCCATGCAGTGACTCTGCGGGCGATCTATGCATTGTGGCATGTTGTGTAGCCCAGTATGCTTGCAAGAAATCAGTAGTGAAGCTTATCCACAATTGCCCTTCCAGTTTAGCCGTTTGCAAACTCTCTTTCAAACTTCTGTTAAACCGTTAGATTTCCCCATTGGCTTGAGGGTAATATAGGGATGACCTTCTGTGTAAAATATTCCCCTCTGCTAGAAAAGTTTCAGACTCCAAGGAAGTAAATTGACTACCATTATCTGAAACCACTTCTTTGGGGTTACCTTCCCTGCTAAAAACTGAAGAGGGGAACTTAATTACTGTAGCAGAAGAGTTTTGCGATGTAAACGCTACCTCAGGCCATTTACTGAAATAGTCTATTAAGGTGATGGCATAACGACAGTCAATTGGAGCAGTATCAAAGGGTCCTACAATGTCAATCGCCACTTTTTCCCATGCAGATTCAGGAAGAGGAACAGTCTGTAATGGAGGGGTACATGTCACTGCTGTCTTATCATGCATTTGGCAAGTGACACAGGATTTTATGAGTGCTTCAGTTTGAGAGTCTATCCCTGGCCACCAATACAGATCCTGTAGTCATTGTTTGGTTCTGACAATTCCTTGATGAGTATCGTGTGCCAGGTGTATGAGTGTTGACTGTAATTCTTCTGGCACAAGTAGCCAGTGTGTTCCTCATAGCACACAGCCATTGAGCAAAGAAAGTTCACCCTGAACTCTAAAATAAGGCAGCAAAACTGGATCAAGGTTTTTAGGGTTACTGGGCCATCTCTTTGTCAGAAATTCCTGTAGTTTTTGTTGAATTGGACACGCTGAACAAGCAGCTTGAAATTGTTCTCTTGTAACTGCAGTAAGAGTGCTTGTAATAAGCGCGACTACTACATCCTCATCCTCTGGTGGACCATCTGGTGAGGGCAAAGGCGGGCAAGGAAGGCAGTCAGCTACCACATTTTGGTTTCCAGGCGTATATTCCAGTTCATAATTGAGAGAGTAGTCTTGCAGACCACCTAGCAATACGATATCCTGCTCTTCCCAGTTCTTTCGTGGTGAGCAACGTCGTCAAAAGGCTGTGGTCTGTGTGCAACTTGAATGTGCAGCCCCACAGGTAAGTTCTCCGCTTTTCAGTAGCCCAGACACAAGCAAGTGCTTCTTTTTCGACTGGAGAATATTTTCTCTCAGCATTAGTTAGCGTCCTTGAAGCAAATGCGACAGTCTTCTCTGTGTTGTCCTCATGCAGTTGTGTGAGAACAGCCCCAAGTCCATAATCAGAAGCATCAGTAGTTATAATTGTGGGCAATGCAGGACTGAATAGTGCAAGTACTGGACTATGTACAATCAAGTCTTTCACCGTTTCCAAACTGTGCATCCGTTGTCCACAATAAGGTTGAACTTCCCTGTAGTAATTCTCGTAATGGTTCAATGACAGAAGCATAATTGGGAATGAATTTTGCATACCAGGAGGTAAGACCCAAGAAGGAACGTAAAGTTTGAAAATCTGTTGGAGGACGAGCATTTGAAATTGCCAGGATATGAGCCGGATCAAGTTTTAGTCCAGCCTGTGAAATTGTATGCCCCAGAAAGGAGAGTTCAGTTTGTCTAAATTTGCATTTGGACCTATTGAGCTTGAGGCCTGCTTTGCTGATGCAGTTTAGTATAGACTGCAGGCTATTGTCATGCTCCTCCAAAGTATTTCCAAACACGATAATATCATCCAAATAGCACTGAACTCCATGTTGATGCTGTGAGGTCTCTGCTATCTTCATGCAACATAACCTGGTGGTATGCGCTCTGCAAATCAAGAGTAGAAAACATCTTTGCTCCACGGAGTTCTGCAAATACTTCTATGTGAGGAAGAGGATGGCTGTCAATCACAATAGCTTTATTTGGCTCCCTTAAGTCCACACAAAGGTGAATGCCTCCACCCTTCATCTGCATCACTACTATAGGTGAAACCCATTCTGAGGAGTTAATCTCTTCAATAATGTCCTCTTGAACAAGTTTTCTAAGTTCCTCTGAAACAGCTTCCCTGACTGAAAATGGTACGTGCTGTCATTTCTGTCGTACAGGCATCACATTATTCTGCATTTTAACTTTATGCAGAAACCCATAAGCACAGCCGAGTTTCTCCTCAACCTGGTGTTGAGTCCCAGCTGAAACTGGTGTGTGTACCGCAAGAGTGCTTTGCTGAGGAAGATCAATTCGTCCATTAACTACCCTGAGATTTAAAGCAGCCAATAAATCTCTGCCAAGGATAGGAGTGCCTTTGTGGACAATGTAGAACTCTGCAGTTAGACAGCAATCACCAAAAGTAACTATTGCTGGCAGGCAGCCACATACTGGAATACGGTTTTTCAAATAGCACACCAAATGAAGCTTGGGTTCAGTAAGAGGCACATCTTTAAAGTAATGCAAATAGATGGAATCACGTAGTATAGATACTGCTGAGCCAGTGTCCAACGTTAGCTGAATAGAGTGTGATTTGCCTGAGGGTATGGCGGAAACGTTTACCATGCACTTTATTTGTTCTGGAATATGTGCAGTAGTGATTTTGTCCATGTTCCGCACAGTAACATCTGGTATTGTAACTGCCTGCACAGTAACATCTGGTATTGTAACTGTTGATTGAACTGGCTGCTGCCACATACTTTAGCAAAATGCCCAATCTTTTTGCAATGATTGCACTGAGCTACTTTTGCCGGACATCCTGTGTAGTTTGCAAGGTGTTGTGGGGATCCACAGCGAAAGCATGCTTTTACTGTATTTTGAATTTTCTGGTTTGGTGGTTTTTCATTAGTTTTCCTCTTGTAATTGTTTGTCTGCAGCTATAGTGAACTTTTCTGCAAAGGAGTTACAGCCTGGACTGTGCCTCCTGTATCCTTGCTCATTGTTTTGGCTTCAGCTGTAGCTGACTCAATCTGGGTAGCAATGGTTATTGCTTTTTCTAGTGTAAGTTGTGGTTCTAGAAGTAAACGTTCTCTTACACAAAGCATGGTGGTTTTTTCAATGAGCTGGTCTCTAATCATCTCATCTGCCATATTCCCAAAGTCACAAGTTACAATCAGACTCCTCAGGGAAGCAATATACTGCATTATAGTCTCCCCTGGTTTCTGCTCACACGGGCAAAATCTGAAGCAATTAGCTACTACATTCACTTTTGGTAGAAAAAAGTTCTTTAATGTATTGAGTGCAGTCTCATATTTACAGTCTGTAAGGCAAAAAGTATAAAATATATGCTACCCTTCTTCTCCAAGGCAGTGGATTAGCAGAGCAGGCTTTCTTACTTCAGAAATCTCTGTAGCACTGATTGCAAGCAGATAAGTCTCAAACATATGGATCCAGGCAGTAAAAGCAATTGGAGGCTCACCTGGGCTTTGTAGAAAGGGTGCAGGTGGGTTCAGAGGCAGAAGATCCATCCTCGTCGCCAAAATGTTGTAGTAGCCAGGCAAGGTACTAACAAACTTCAACAGGACTTTATTTTTTAAAGTGGAAATCTCTTTTCCAAACTGCTGCTGCACCCTCAGTAGCTCTCCCTCAGCCTCTTCAACTCCTCTCCTCTCCTTCCTGTTTCCTGTCCTTTCAGACCCCCCAACAGCCAGTGCTCCCAATTCTAATAATTACAAGCAACATCTAAACACCACACTTGGAATAGAAGATTTTCTCCTAAATGGACTAGGGGGACTGGAATGTGCAAAAAAAGCCTGTTTGAGTTTCCTTAAGGGGGGGTGGGTGGGAGGAGAGAGAGAGGGGGAGAAAGCTTGGCTATCTAAAAGCAAATGAATGAAGAAGTTGGCAGCTGTAGCTTTGTATGATGCTGCTGCTGCTGTGCCAAAAAAAAAAGAAAGAAAGAAAGACAAAGGAAAGGGCTGCAGGTAGAGAGGGAGGAACTCTGCAGGCTCTCTGAGACTACAGAGGTCGGGAGGAGAAAGCCCAGGGAGAGAGTTGGATCTGGTAACCTCTCCGGAGTGGGGAAGTTTGGCAAGAGGCCAGCAGAGAGACAAAGCAACCACTGGGCATGGAACAGCCTCCAGAAGTAAGCCCTGATAAAAGGGCAGGATTTGAACAGCTAGGGAGAAAGTTCTGGAAGGTGCTCAGTGTAGGAACACAGCAGGAGAGGGATAAGTGGTCAAGCCCAAAGAGGGTAGAAATTGGGGAGTTTGTATACTTTTATTTTGGGATTTTTTTAAGAGGATTCAGGGGATGAAGAGAGTGGGAAGCCCAGAGAGAAGGCTGTGAGGACTACGGGGTCCAGAGGTGTGGCTGAAGACCCTTTGGTGAGGACACTAGGCTGTTTTCTATTGGACTTTGTTGCCCCAGAAGGACGGACTTAAATCATGACCTGGCTGGAGAGCTGGGCCATGGAAAAAGGCAGACCACTGTAAAACCAGAGCAGATGTCAGCGGGAGGGCACCAGATGGGGATAGAGCCGCTACACCATGCCTGGCCATGAGGGGATGCTCCAATGGCAAGCTGACCCCTTTCACACCAGGAAACAGAGATTTAAGGTAAATGCCCATGAAGCCTTAACTCCGCCCTCTTTGAAAAATGCCCCAGCTTGCCCATAACATGCATACCCTCACTCTGCCTTTTCACTGTAATGGACAGGTGCTATCTGCATTTGCCCTACCCTCAAACCCTGAGATCACTTCCCTGACAGAATACCACATTTGTAAAATATAACAGCCACCTCATACCCTTTTACAAACCCTCCACACTTGCACACAAGCTACCAAAGAGGCTGTGTCCGGGACACACAAGGTTTTGCAGTGATGTAATCTTAGTTAAATAAGAGTCTTAATTAGGGTGGAGTGTCACAGACCCTGTACCTGAACTGCTCTCAGTGGTGGTACTTGACAAGAATTAAAACAAGTGTCTTTTCCTGTTCCATATTTTAAAAACAGTATTTACCAATACAATTTTGCTACTGCTAATCCTTGATTAAATGTGAGACCTTTCCCAATTCTAACGTTATAGGATGGTGCTATATGTATATACTGTATGCAGGACTAACTTATGCCATACTGTAACCATTGCTACTCCTGGTATAGATGTGGCTACTCTGGAGCTATTGATTAGAGGACAGACCTTTTCCCAGGTTACTAAAGGTGACATGGTTACATCCACTAGCTCATAGCGAAGTGTTGTACTTACACCTGGTATGCCCTTAACATATGCTTCTTTTAGATATATATTGTTTTCTAGTGTTTCTAGTCAGTTATATATCAGTTCATGCATTAAACTCAATACTGTCCATGTTTTAATTATTAATCTTCCTCAGATTGTGTGTACTGCCATCTGGGGATGAGATCATATTGCTTTGAAGATGATACCAGTGTACCAAAAGGTGCCCTTGCAGTGGGTTGCTGCCATTGGCTCCAGACCATAGTTACTGCAGTGTTCGAGTTCACCACTTGGAGCTTTACACCAAAATCTGTTTTCTTAGCTTCCTTCACATGATACAAACACTGGAGCTTGTGAGTCTGCATTTAATTAGCCTGGTGCCTCCTGAACAGGGTGACCAGATGTCCTGATTTTTATAGGGACAGTCCTGATATTTGAGGCTTTTTCTTATATAGGTGCCTATTACCACCCACACTCTGTCCCAATTTTTCATACTTGCTATCTGGTCACCCTATTCCTGAACCAACTGTCAGGACATCAAGATTGCTACAGAAGAAGAATAAAGCTTTCATCTACGTGGTGCTGAGAGCTGTTTTTTGGCTTGGGTCTCCTCTGAGGATTTTGTATTGTTGCTGAGTACCTGTGAAGACATGTCCCTTTTCTGGTTCAACACTGTGAGACTTGACATCAGATGAATCCGATGAAGTGTGTTCTAGTCCACAAAAGTTTATGCCCAAATAAATTTGTTAGTCTCTAAAGTGCCACAAGGACTCCTTGTTGTTTTTGCTGATACAGACTAACACGGCTACCCCTCTGAAACCTATGACTGTGAAATTGACCAAAATGAACCGTGAATTTGGATGGGTTCCTCTTATAGCAGTTGCTGTCTTTCGTGCATGTACTCATGACCCCCAGTTTGAAAATACCTGTCCTATAGGTTAGTATATCAGTGTTTTGCCATGGCCCTCTTGTGGTTAAGGCTCTGCGGATGTAACCCATGCACCTCTTATGTACGTAAATTCGTTGCCATGACACTCTTGTGGTTGGACTCATGTTCCTGTTAGAATTTACTCTTGAACACACTATTTTTAACTCCCCAACACTTGAAGTTTTCCACTGGGCTGTTTGTTTGTTTAAAGTTTCTGTTCAAAGGCCTCAAGCCTTATGCTAACTATGCTAACTGATGAAATTAATGTCTTACAGGTTACAGACAGTACCGGGTTTACAATGGTGCAGTGGCGCTGGGCCCACACTGAGAAGGGGCCCTGGCACCTGCCTCGAGCCCTACTCCCCACTTCACCCATGCTCTGCCCTGAGGCCCCACTCTCGCTCAGCCTCTTCCCCCTGAGGTTCTGCCTGCCACTCACTCCTCTTTGCGCCCTCCTAAGTCCTCTCTGCACCCTCCCCGCTGTGCGAGCATTGGGCGGGGCCTCGGGGCAACGAGGCCAAGCAGGGGCAGGGCATCAAGGCGGAGTGTGGATGGGGCCTTGGGGGGAAGAGGCTGAGTGGGGGTGGAGTGCAGGCAGAGCGGGGGCAGGCCCACAAAAGATTAATCCGGCCCTGGATACAGGCCTGTAGGTTCCTTGCATTACTGCTAAATATAATAAAGTCAGAATGCAATGAAGGCAAGGCAGTGAATATAATAAAGCTAGCCCTATGAGCTACAACTCTCCTATCAGAGATCTGGTTCCACTGTGGAATCTAAACTTAGTTTTACCCCACCTACTGAGTCTTCCTTTTGACCCTATGGCAATTTGTTCCACATCGCACCGTTCTACAAAGACTGCATTTTTTTAAAGCTTTTATATCAGCTGGGATAGTGTCTGAGATGCAAGCACTATTGGCGGAACCTCCATTTGCAATTTTTCACAAGAATAAAGTCTTTTTGAGGCCATATCCCAAATTTATGTCAAAAGTAATTTCATTTGAAACAAGCTGTTCATTTGCAGCTTTTTTTCCAAAGCCTCATTGTAACCAAGGTGAGAGGAGACTGCACTCCAGGGATGTGTATAGGGCCCTGTTTTTCTATATTCATAAAACCAAACCATGTAAATAGGTTACTTTTAAATAATACAATACGGGAAATTATAATAAAGGTTAGGCATATAACTCAAACAGTGTTTATTAGGAGTTTTAAAAGGCAGTTACTGAAGGAGTTGTGTGTAAAGAGGAAACTTTATTTGTGGTCCAGAATTAAAAAACAAAGAAAGCTAATGCTAAAAAGAAAAAAGGAGTCTGAGAAAGAAATCACATGCTTGTTCCTTTTAATTATGTTATCTTTAATCTACGTTCTAACATGCAACAATGAATAATTCCATAAAAGACCATGCGGTTAGAAAAACCTTCAGATTGGATAAGGAAAACATCTGTAATTTAATATGTGAGATATGAGTCTGCAAAAGGTCACATAGTCAAAGAATACCTTCTGATTGGTTCAGGTGATGTGGCTTGCTTTATCTTAAGCTCCCAGAAGAGAGGTTTTTGCCACTTGGCTGATATGGTGATGCTTTGTGGTAAGAATCTTTTTGCTCTGCTCTTTTTTACTTTCTGTGCTTTTAAAAAAAACTTTCTTAGAGATCCCTGAAAGATGGCTATACACCAGCACCTTCCTTGCAAAATATAAGTAATTTAAGGTTATATTTTCTCTCTTTATCACTAATAGTTAGCAGCCTTTGTGCAGTTCTTTAATAGCCTTTATTTAGAAATGTACTACCTGCATAAAACCTAATTTTCTCTAAAAATGAGGAAATGCATGATTGCTATAGAAATCTAATAACACTTCTCCTTTTTTCCTCTGTCATTAATACTTTGTACATTTGTTTAACAGACTTTAGAAGTGTGTTAACTGCATATCAAGCATATTTCCTTCTTAAAATGAGAGAAATGTAGGATAAGACATAGATAACTCGTCTTTGTTCCTCCATTCTTAATACATTTGATGGTTATTTAATGCCTTTTTTTAGAAATGTACTAAAGGGATTCAGGCATTGCAACATTGAGCCTTGCAATGACTTACCTTTAGGCACCTAGCCACCCAGTGGAATCCACTGCCCTGCATTAGATGCTAGGCTCCCTATACAATGCATAGGGAGCGTTAGGCACCTAAGAATGGGATCTATGAAAGCCAGAATGCTGAGTGGGGAGCTGCCTAATCTAGGTAATGGGAAATACTTAGAAGAGTGGGGTGGCCTAGGCTCTTAGATCCCTTTGAAGAGTGGGGCTTAAGTCCAGGCTAGACAGAGACCGTTCCATTTGTTCTGGATTCACAGCCATGAACCATCTTTTGGAACTAGGTGCCTAACCCATTTCTGATAAGAAATGGAGTTGGCAGTGCCCCCTCAGGAACTTTTAGCCCATTGGTTAGAGCAGTGGTTCTCAACCAGAAGTACGTGTACCCCTGGGGGTACTCAGAGGTCTTCCAGTGAGTACTCAAATCATCTAGATCAGTGTTTCTCAACCTGGGGGTTGCACCGCCGAGAGGGGTGTCAAGGGATAGGTTTAGGGGGGGTCGCAAGTGGAGGGCCGGCATAAAGGGGTGGCAAGCAGGGAATTGCCCAGGGTTCCATGACACAGGGGGCCCCGTGAAGCTAAATTACATGCTTCAGCCCCACTGCCTGGGACCTTGGGCCTCAGACAAGGCTCACAAGTGAAAGACAGGCTGAAGTATCACACTGAAATGTAAGTACAATATTTATACACACATTGACGTATTTTATAATGATATGGTAAAAATGAGAGAGTCAGCCATGTTTCAGTCAAAGTGCACTGTGACACTTCTGCATTTTTTGTGTCTGATTTTGTAAGCAAGTAGTTTTTAAGTGGCAAAGAGTCCTGTGGTACCTTAGACTAACAGGCGGATTGGAGCATAAGCTTTCATGGGTGAATTCCCACTTTGTCAGAAGTTACATATAGCTAATAGATATTAATAGATATCATCAATGTCTGTCTTCTTTTATATCCAACTATAATTTAAGATAAGATAATTAATAGCCAATAAATCAAATAATTTGGGGTTTTTTCTTTCATTTTTTAGAAGAGTTTTGGTAGGGAGCACAGAAAACTAAAAATACAAATCTCTATTATGGAAGATTCCACGGTTGGGAGTGTCTCGTGTTAAGTGTGCAAAAGTGTCACTTGCAAAATGCAGATGCGCAATCCAATCTGTTCTAGCCTCACAATAACTGTTCCAATGTGTCAAGATTTTGGACACTATTGTTTTGACACCAATGAATGTTGAGTTGACTTGTTGTTGATTTACTGAAATCATTCTTTCATTATCAAAGAAAGGGGACATTATAATAATTGATAGTGGCTCATCTGGAAATAAAAGCAAGGGGTCACGATAGAGTTCTTAAGTTTAAACAGCTCATATTGATCATTATTAGTTTCCTTTCCCTATGAATGAAGACTGATAGGCGCTGATTCAAAGAAGCACTTAAGGTCAGATTTTAAAGGTGTTTAGGCACCTGAAGATGCAGATAGGTGCCCAGTGGGATTTTCAAAAGTACCAAGTGCAGAATTGCAAATAACCTCAGTGGGAGTTGGGCATTAGGCGCCTATCTATATCTTTAAGGGCCAAAATACCTTTAAAATCTGGCCCTAAGCCCATGCTTAACTTTAAACACTTGCTTAAGTTGCATTGAAGTCAGTCCTTAGGGTGGATCAGGTGGATCATGTATTCACCCACAAAAGCTTATGCTCCAATACATCTGTTAGCCTAAATAGGATCTGGGTGCCTGGGCTGTGAATTCCCCGAGGCAGCAGGATGCCTGAACATTAAATATTTCAACAATGAGTGTTGCAGCACCAAAGTCCCCCTCATGAATCTTGCCCAATGTTCTCTGAAAATGTCTGACAAGCTGTTTACTGCTGCCAGAATAATTCTTGACTTTGACAAATCATCAGTGAAGTCAAAGGAAGTTTGCCTGAGGGAAGAACTGAGTGAGATCTCAGAATTGGGCTGAGGGTTAGCTGCAGAAGGAAAATCCTTATTTGGGGGCTAATCTCTGGTCTCAGGGTGGTCTCTTGGAGAACAGCAGCAACAGAGAGATTTCCATTTCTGCAATAACATCCATAGTGTGTTGTGTTGTGATGTTCTGAGATCACACAAACTAAGTAGGCTCAGAGTAGGTCAGAACTCACCTGGGAGAGGGCCAAGGAACCATTAGGTGTTGCTGGAAGATATGTTGTTGCCATCCCGTTAGTGGCACTCTTTCCTTTGAATCAGGAATGAACTATGCCCCAATGTGATGTTAAGGAGAAATGTGCTTTTGAATGAAAATTTACACCCTCTCATAACCTGGACTTAAGAAAATGGGCTAAATTCATCCCTGGTCCAACTCCATTGACAACATTTGGCCTCCTGTGTCCACCAAAATTATCCAGTTATCATATGGACAGCATTTCTTCCAATGAAGTGAGAAACATGGTGCCATTTCACAAAGAAATGTGAGTAACATTCCTAACCAACTTGCAAAACCGTTCCTTTTTCTTGTTCTCCTTTGAGAATGTAAACTTCTGAACTCAGCTGGTGAAACTAGACATGGCCTCTCCCCAAGTCATCGTTGTACAGCCCCAACTTACTGTGGCTAATGCACCAAGTAGCTTGTGGCAGACCGGGTTGATGGATTGCTGCAGTGACTGTGGAGTCTGTAAGTGGATAGTCAAATATTGTATTTTTGTTTTGGATTCAGGTGTCTTGATGTTTGGCTTAATATTATATCTCCAGTCTTTTACTGGGTCTGACTTTAAATGGGGGATGGAGGAATCCCGTTTGTCTATTTTATATTGATTTAAAGGAGTGGCTTGTAGTTGTATTTCCTGTATCCACTCTGAGAGCCAGTCACTAGTTGGCTACATGACCCACTCGTTCTCACACAAAGCAACTACTTGTACTCCAGTCCCACGTAAAGAAAGTTAATTCGGATCTGCTGAGGGTCATAGCTCCAGAAAGGAGTGTGTTTACAGCCGGATAACTGACATGGGTTAGCCATCTTGCTGTAAAGTCCTAGTGGAGGCAAAGTGCTCATGTAGCTTTTAGTGGTGTATCTGCACAAGTTCAACTCTATCTCCCCCACCTGCGGTTCACCTCGCTTAGTTACATCATGGTAAAAACTACAATGCCTCGCCTCCACTAGAATTTTACAGTGAGACAACTAAAGGGTGTGTGTGCAAATTTACTATAAAAACACACCTTTTTTGGCAGTGAAAAAATGGCCTTCATTCATTATGAGGGGGAGGGAGAGAAGAGTTGCCTATTAAAGCCTCACAAGACATCACTATATAGGTCTTTCAATGACCTTCCCCTCCTTCGCACTAGCTCTGGACCAATGGCATGTCCCTAACTTTCTCCTTCCGATTTTGTAGCGATTTCTACATCTCTCCTAAAAGTGGTGGTGAAAGTTAACTGTCTGCATGAATGAAGGGGAGAACATTGAGTGAGCCTCATTTGTTTGTCTTTATCCAGGCCTATGTGGAGCATTCTGTTTCTGTTGTCTTGAATGTCAAGTAGCAAGTGACATGAATGAATGCTGCTGTTGTGGCGGAAGCGTTGCCATGAGGACTCTCTACCGGACAAGATATGGAATCCCTGTTAGTTACTATTCAATAATATTTTGTTTTGCTCATGCTCAAAGAACAGCCCTTAAAGCAACATGTCATTGATCTAAGCAGATCAGTTGGCTACATTTTCATTAGCCAGCTTCCACCCAGTGTGATTCCTCCCCATCTGAACACGGCTGCTAGGAGTCTTCCCTTATGATTTGAGGGCACTGTGGTCTAGAAATTAGCGGAGGATTGGTCATTTGAAGACTTCGGTTCTACTTGCAACTGCCACCGACTCACTGTGTAACCTTGCACAAGTCCCTTAGCTCTTCTTCCTTTGTTCTCCCCATCTGTAAAATAGATCATTCCTTTGGTACTGTTGTAAAGCACTTTGAGATAATTTCATGAAAAGTAGAAGTGCAATTATCCGTTATTAATTGATGCCCCTTTAAAGCAGAGATTTGCTACGTACCTGAGATAGAGAACCCCCTCTGATGAGGCATTGGTTACATTTAAATATCCATCTAAATTAAATGTATATTGGATAATTTCTAATGCAGACATTGTACATAATACTAACCTGATAATCAACCGCCATTTAGACCAAACTACTGATCTAAATCTTGGCTCTCACTCCCTCAGCATGAATCTCTTCACCAACGGTTCTCCTGATGAGCTGAAAAGGTGTTGCAGAATGTAGACAGAATTCTAAATGTGTGGTTCAATCAACAAGGCGGTTGTGTATGTGTTTTTTCAAGCTACAATATTGTAGTTTCTGGAGTTAACTCCTTCTGTGCCAAAGTACAAATAACAGAAAAGCCTAAGAAATGAAAAAACAAGATTAGATAACATGAAAGTTAAATGAATAGATCACACTGAATTGGGATGTGTTACGAACACAAGAGAGGAATAATATGAAGGGACTGAGGAAGGTTAGAACTATGGCCATGAAATTATAAAATGAGATTCAGCCTAATGTCCCCAGGGGAAAAAAAATTGCAAATGTGTACATGTTCTGTGGGTGGAAAGGCATGGAAAGGCATGTAACTGAAATGCTTCAGAGTGATACTGGTCACGAAATTACACGTATGATTACACATTCAATAGAGCAATAATAACACAAAGCCAAGGAGGTTTGGGGGATCTCTACAGAAATGTTATAGGCTAATTAAAAACAAACAAACCAAACCTCAGCTTCTATTTAGGCACCTAAATGATTTTCCAAAGGGCTCAACAGTAGCTTCAAAACTGGTCACTTCACTTCGGAGCTAAGATCTTTTAAAAATTTGGAGCTATGTCAGAGCAGGAAGGCAATAGTTTCTCTATCTAGAACATATTTTTTTCCTTGCTAGATCTTCAGTACCTGAAGGATGCAGGTGAATTGGAAGGAAATTAGAGAAGAGCAGTGAAACTAATTTGGAGCATGGAGGCATTGACCGTTAAGGAAAATTCAGAGCTAAATATGTACAGTTTTTGACAGTCAGTGGGGGCTATAACTGCAAAGACCTGAAAGGTATAGAGCAGTGTGTTAAGGAGTGGTGTGAGGACTAGCAAAAGGATGAAGTTAAGAAAAGGAATAGTTTGGCTGAATATCAGAAAATACATCCTAACCCTAAATGCAAAAAACTGTTTACCCGTTGAAAAATTCCACCACTGGAAACATTTAAAATGGAAACTGGACAGAACCCCAGAGATTACTCTATAAGGAACAATCCTGCACAGGTAGGCGGACTTGATCTAGCAGAGCTTCCAATCTCTAGTCTCAGTCTGGTTTCCATCTGCTAAAGCATGGTTGTTATTGGGTAAACACCACCCATTAGATAACTCTGCTTCCTAATTTGTAAATAAAGTCTTTGGTGTCTTAGGAGGTAACCTGCCTCTCTGCCTCCTACAGCAAGTAATTGGACATACTTTTTTGTTGGGGGTGTGTGTGTGGAAAGGGAGGGGCTTACTGGGGTAAAAAGCAGGGTTATGGACTAGATAAACAAATAGGGTTTGATATCTTTTAATTTCTATTAATCTGGGATAAAAATCCTTTGATAAAAGAAGTTTAACTAAAATGTATCTCCCCATCCCCCTTTCCCCATAATGGCCCTGTCATCCCAGTCAAAGGCAGCACTGAAAGCCTATATTCTAGTCTGAGTTTAAATCCATTCAATATGATAAAGTCAATGAAAAGTTAGATGTACATCTTAAGTTGACAGACTTTAATATGTTTTCTTTTTAAACAGGGATCCATCTGCTCTGATTTCTGCACTATCCTGTGGTGCCCTGTGTGTTCTGTTTGTCAAATAAAGAGAGATATTAACAAAAGGAAAAAATTAAGGCTATTCTAATAAGGTTTGTCACTTATTTAATACATATTTGTAAGTGTTTGATAAATCAAGAGGCTTCTCTGATGTGATGTATCAATTAGTTCTAGGACAAATGGTAGAAGTGATGGAAAACGCAATCAATGAACAGATTTGTATCTAATATAGAAGGGAGATCCTGCTTTACCCACCCTTTATGTTACTAACTGAAGCTGTCTTGGGCCCCCAAGTTGGCCATCTATAATATTCATTTAGGGAAGCAGCAGATAAGCCTTTTACTTGACTCTGTGTTAGAGAACCACAGCAGTAAGTAGGGCTCTACCAAATTCACGGTCCATTTTGGACAATTTCATGGGCATAAGATTTTAAAAATCATAAAATTTTATGATTTCAGCTATTTAAATCTGAAATATCACTGTGTTGTCCTGACCCAAAGAAGCGGTCCCAAGGTTATTGTAGGGAGTTTGTGGTACTCCTTCCCTTGCTTCTGTGCTGGTGGTGGTGCTGTCTTCAAACCTGGGCAAATGGAGAGTGGTGGCTGCCGGCGGGGAGCCCAGCTCGGAAGGCAGCACTGCTGCCAGCAGCCGCGCAGCAGTGAGGGTGGCATGGTATGGTATTGCCACCCTTACTTCTGTGCTGCTTCCTGCAGAACCGGGCCCTCAGTGAGCAGCCGCCACTCTCCAGCCGCCCAGCTCTGAAGGCAGCAGCACAGAAGTAAGGGAGGCCTGGTATGGTATGGCCACCCTTACTTTTGCATTGCTGCTGGCGGGGCATTGCCTTCAGAGCTGGGCGCATGGCCAACAGCTGCCACCCTCTGGCTGTCCAGCTCTGAAGGCAGTGCAGAAGTAAGGGTGGCAATACCATGACCACCCCCCTCCCCCCCAAAATAACCTTGTGAACACCCCCGAAATTCCCTTTTTGGTCAGGACCGCCCATTTGAGAAATGCTGGCCTCCCAGTGCAATAGGTCTAATATTGGGTAAAAGCACACAAAAGACCAGATTTCACGGTCCATGACGTGTTTTTCATGGCAGTGAATTTGATAGGGCTCTAGTAATAACGAGTGAGAGTTACCTGAGTGACACAAGCCAATTTAAAAGGAAAAGTATGATCACGAGTATGGGCAAAGTGCCTGACAGGGAATGCAAGGCCAGAAAGCAGCAAAGACCATCTGTTAGTGGGGGAGAGCCCTGATGGTAAACCACAGGTAGCAGGTGGGCATTCCACATTAGGTGGCACTTGAAATTCTGCAGTGGGACAGAAATGTGAAGGGCAGGGCTGGCCTCAGGGGAAATGGCATCCTGGGCAAACTTGTATTATGGTGCCACTAGCCCCCACTGCCTTCCCGGGTGCCACACCCATCTCCTCTGCTCCCCGGGCTCCCCACCCCTGTGTCACTTCTGGACCCCCCACCATACCCCCATCTCTCCTGGCCCCTGCTACCTCCTCCCTTCCCTTCACCCCTGGATCAGCCACTAGAAGTGCACATTTTACCACTTTAGGGTGGGGATGAGCACTGATTGGACAATGAGATTGTCAATCAGCATGGCCTCTGGAACAGAGTGCATCCAGGAAGATGGAATGTTTGGCATGTGCTCAATAGGCTGCTCCCCTCCCCACCCCCGCAATTGCGGGATGCTGTAGCGCAAATGCCCCATTGCCCCAAGCTCCCTTCCACGGTC